CCTCGTCCGGTGTGCTTCTTTCTTTGCCCGTGTTTTTAGGCGTATTTACCACCATTCAAAAGTATCAACTAGCCCAACTCGCAGTTTTAATAAGGCGGATCCCACAACACTAAAGGAGAACAGAGTGCCAATAATCTAAGCGTAGCTCGTTTAGTGGCTCAAGTAGCTTCACATACGCCTGTGCCTGTGCACGACACCAGTGTCTCGAGCGGCCCTTGGAAGCAAACGACGGCGCAGTACTGAAATGAGTGGCCCGGAGCACCCACTCGTTGCACGTGCCTTGCGTATTTCCTCAAAAATGGTTGGCGGAACTTGAAAGCATGAATTTTATCAAGGGACTTTACTCGAACAGCAGCACCATTCTTAATAAATTCATGCATCCAGCCGAGCTAACGCTCCTCAAACATTGTAAAAACAAACTGTTTTCTTTTTCTTTCTTTTTGCGAAGGAAAATAAAATGTACCAATTAGCTCAATTGATATTAGTAGCAAAAAAAAAAGTCGTTGGATGCATGAATGAAATCTCGCATTTCTGGCGTGTGTCTCAGGCGCGATAGCCCATTAAAAATAACGGTTGCTCATCTACAAAGATGGTCCATAAAAAAGGAGAGTAGAAAGATGTGCCGTGATTGGGAGTTTCTCACCTCTTGTGGGCAACGCAGCGCAGCACAGGGCACTGCAAACACTGTCGTCTGCCGTGCACTGGGACCACGGTGACTGGGACCCACCGAGAAAACGTAGAAAACGTGGTTCTTGCAGGCGGTACGGCGGTAGCAGCAGACGACGGCGCAGCAACCCTCATTATTCCCATAATGCCTCACGCGCCACCGTCGCAAAGGGCGGACTGCAAGGATTGGCCGAATGCTGAATATGACGTCAACAAACCATTTCTCATCAACGGAAATAAGATTAATGTAAGAACTTCAATTTTTACGCTGTAGGCAGTATGTGCTTCAAAGCATAATTATTTCAAGCTCCCACCATACTAATTACAAACACCATCGAACTTGTTGTTAGCAAGGTAATGACGTCAGGAGAAAAAACCGTAAGAGGGCACCACCAAGACATCTCGCCGCCAATAGGGAGTATTTACGGGACGCCATATTGTAGGACGTTGTTTGCAACGCATGCTCAAAATCGGCTCCCATTTATCATCTTCCACCAACAACGATATTCAGTGCATGGAATGAAATTTGAACGTGCATTCGTGTGCACACCTCGCAGGCAGTGAAGCCAAGGCTATGGGCGCCCGTACGGTTGCGGACCTTAAAACGGAGATTTCAGCGAAATTTTATATATACCCGTCTTGTTCAGAAAAGGGATGAACATGATCCACGCTCTCTATAAAATACAATCGCACGATTGTGCTTAGACCCCGATATCTGCATTTTTTTTTGTTATAAGCCGCCTACTCTGGCAAGCGTTCGGATAGCATCCAGCGGAGAGCATATGACATCCGACGCAATCGTGTCGTAGCATGTCTCAGGACGAGCAAAGGCGCGGCGAGGCTCACGTCGACAAGGTGATTGCAAGCGTGCAATTTGGCCGCCTCCATGTCTGCTTGTGCGGGCAAGTGCGAAAACAAGCTTGCGAAAACTACGTTCACGCGCATGCTCCACGTGCTTCCACGCATGGGGCAGTGAGGCAATAGTTCTAGGCCAGACAGGCATCGCTACTACCTGCACTGCGAAAACTACGTTCACGCGCATGCTGCACGTGCTTCCACGCATGGGGCAGTGAGGCAATAGTTCTAGGCCAGACAGGCATCGCTACTACCTGCACAACGTTCCTAGACGAATATTACAATTTAGGGTGTAGCGAAATCCACTAAATGCCATTTGTTAATCGCTTAATTACGGCAAAGCTGTTTATGGCTAGGGTTCCGTAGATTTTTCATGTGCGTAAACTAAAGCTCTAGGCTCGCACCGCCGCACGCGCCGTACGCGCAGGCCTTCCCCGTATGAAAAATTCAAAGTACAATATACCCAAAATAAAGCATTGACGAACGCCCGTGTAAGTTGCCATTTATTTTAAGCTTTTACTTTAAAACAGTTATTGCTGCAGGCGCCGGCACGTGCGACGCGTGGAACATTATTCCCTGCATTATCCTTGATGCTTGGGTAATTCAGCAGTAGATCTATTCAGTCGATTAGTTATCGATAGGCACCATTTTCAAGATTAGTAGACGCTCAGGTAGATAATCAAGGTTTCTCAAAGATTTGCCGCTGTGCCACCCACGTCGGCCATGTCTACGATCACACCGCCCTCTCTTTGTCGGCGTTCCAAGCCGCTTGCGTGCCTAGTCTCCTTTCCTTGCCCTTTGCCGGGGAGGCGGTCCCGTCACGTGTGTCTACTTTCCGCTGGGTGCCGATCCCTTCGCGCGTGTCTAGTTTCCTCCTGCTCTTCGGGGCGGGTTTGTGTCGTTTTCTAAACAGCTTCGCTGGTCATCCACCTTCCAGAGCGAAATGGCTCGTGAGTTTTGTTTTAAAATTTCTTTTCCCATCTTTCTAACAAGGGCATGGTGTGTTAGTTGTGATGCTGCTTTCTTCGACACGTATAGACTGAGGAATAGGCTCCGAAATTTCGTTCTAGTGTTCCCAGACCCACTAAATGAGCTACGCTTAGAGTATCGGCACTCTGTTCCCTGATATTGTTATGGGCTCCGCGATCTTGATGCTTGTACAGAGCAGTCGAAACTGCCGATTGTAGTTATTTTATTGCGAATTCCTCAGCATTAAATTGTGTTAGGAAGCTCATGTAATATTGCTTTGCAAATTTGCGAACCGTTTAAACGTTTGTGGAGGACGAAGAAGCGTTTCCTGTGATTTCAGCTAAAGCTTCAGATAACTGGCAACCGTGATTTTAAATCTCAAGATGGATATGCGTTGTTACTCTGAAGCGTAGCGTATTTAATGGTTCTAAGTATCATTATAGAGGGATAGTCGAATAAAATATTGTCTTTCATAAAACGAATAAATTACATTGTCATTGCTTAAAGGAATATCATCCGCAGAATATCCGAATTTCGAATCTTCCGCTTCACACGTAATTCGTTCAGATTGCACCTGCAAAACACACTGTATGTTCGTTGGCAACAGCCGAAGCTCTAACGTATCATCGAGCAAAGTAAGCCATCTCAGAGCTCTTGACTGTTGTATCAGTAAAATAACTTTGTTCTAAGAAAAACAAGATAGACGGTGTTAAGGGAAGCTGAATTCTTCGACGATGATCTTTGTACTCACGATCAACCATGTTGTCCAAACCGGAAATACGTCAACACTCGCGACTCTAAGGTGCCATGCCATAGCCTCCTCTATACTCACAAACCCTGGCAGTTCGATGACAAAGCCATAGAGTGCCCAGTTTCAGATTTGGAGGGCGAGGGTCTGGTAGCACAGTGCATTTCTCGGGGTGTCTAAGGTGCCTACATGTCTGTCTGTATGAGGGTGAAGACATCCCTTATTTCCCCGAATGTACTAGCGCATGACGCTCTCGCGCACTCGGTGCGTCACTTGGGCGGTAAAATGGCGTCTATGCGTTAGCCAAAGCTACGTGCTCGTGCTGAGGGACACCAGATTGGGCGCGCTTCAATATGCATAAAAAACAATTGGGCGGAAAAATGACTGAGATGTCATCACTCAAGCAGAACCGCGCGTGTGTATGAGGACACTCTAGGGGAGTCTGGTACTCAGCGCAAAGCTTTTGCAGCGGCGAAGACCCGGAACATGGTTTTTAAACCCGAAGAGAAAAGAAGCGGTAGCGCGAGGAATGCGAAATGCACGAGCGGACATTCCATCACTCGGGACAAGTGTGTTTCTGCGTCTCGCCACAGCGGGGCGCCCGTTACGTGACTCTTGTCTGCCGCTCTGCCTTTTCACTTTCGGCGGCCGCGTAACGTGACGATCTTCCGGGCTTTGTCAGTATAGAGGAGGCAATGGCCATGCCTGATTTGGCGTCGAGACACGACCGGACATGCATACATTGCATGTCCGGACATGCATGCATTCTATCGCTCCGGACAAGTGTATTTCGGCGTCTCGCCGCAGCGGGGCGCCTGTTACATGCCTTTCCTCTTATCCGCTGTCTGCCGCTCTGCCTTTTCACTTTTGGTGGCCGCGTCTCGTGGCGATCCGCCAGGCTATGTCAGAATAGAGGAGGCTATGACAAGCTAGGTACGAGCTCAAGGTGCGAGCAGGTACGAGCGCGCTTGAAAAGCAGGAACGTGCGGAGTTTGCCAAATGGATGAGTGACTCGCCTGGCCTGTCTGGCCGTGCGTGTAACGTGACGTCATGAAGCGAGCTTTCAAGAAGGCCCACAAGGGGTTGCGTACAATATTTCAATATATTAAATTCTGGACACGATCTCGTTTGAACAATATAACTTATAACTCATTGGTGTGCCTTAAATTCAAATACAACCAACAATTTCTACCCCAAAATATTGGTTCAGTAATCCTTTAAAACCATATTAGTTCCTAGAAATGGAGCTCCTCATGGACGATGCGATGCCAACAAACTACCTTACAACTGTCGCCGTCTTAAAATACGAAGTCCTGCCGTATGCGACCTTTTTCGCATGTTTTTCTAAATACTAATTACGCCGGTGCATGTCACATCAACCTCTCTTTCGTATCTATCTTACCTACTGCCAATGGTGCCTTCCCATCGTTCCGTGGTTTGAACTGGTCGGCTCTACGGTCTTCAATTTAGAAGTGTACTTAATTTGAATTGAGTTACGTAGAGCCATGCTGATACGAAACGCGAGCCTATGGACCATTCCAGAGAAAGCCATTGCAATCTGTAATATTTCTTAAAATGGTTGTGGAGGGCACTCTGAACATGCCAAATAGCTTGTGAGTAGAAAATATGGCAGCAGCCCGTACGTCCACAGCCCAATTAGTGCACCCATCGCACGCAGGTGATAAGCCAATCAATGCTGTGTTCGAGTTCGATCGTTCTCCGTCGGGAAAATAACCGTCATTCTGTTCCGTCTAATTTACAGATGCGCCTGTCTGCAAGGCGGGACAGAAGTGGGTGTACGGCGTCTCCAAGCAGGAGTCGGTGTCGGTGCGGTGCGACCTGGACGCCGACCCGTCGGAGGCGAGCTTCCACTGGGTCTTCAACAGCTCGCTGACGGGAAAGCGCATTGACATAATGCAGGGAGTCTCGTCGAGCGGGTCGCGCAGCGTCGTCAGCTACCTGCCCAAGACAGACGACGACTACGGCACACTACTCTGCTGGGGCACCAACTCGGTCGGCATCCAGAGGGACCCCTGCGCCTTCGCAATCGTGCCCGCAGGTGAGAGGGAATCGACGCGCCTCTGGGTAACACCAGTGACACCTCTAGGAATGCGGGCCGTAGTGTTAGATCGTCAACGTCACCAAAAGAAGCAAACATGGGGCAGGGTTTCGACACGAGTGATACGTCACAGTTCGTCTGAGTCCCGCTTTACTCGGTGGCTGGGTTTACACGAATGCGATCATAGAGTATCGAATCGAGCAGGGACGAATATTCGTACCTGTTTGGTTAGTAGCAGGAAGAAGGATAAGAAGTAGGGAGTCAGGGTACGTGTGATATCACAAGCACCCTGCCTTCCTATTTTTTTTTCTTTTATCCATCTACAACGGATCTAAATAGTCAAATTTCGATTCGATGCGCTACGGTGGCATTCATAGGTACGCTCACATGAAGACGATCGTAGCGCACTGAATCGAGCAGGGACCAATCGCACGCAGCCTGTATTCCTGCTTTTTTTTTCTGCCTTTCTGCTACAAATCAAATAAGTCAAATCTTGATTTGATGCGCCACGGAGGCATCCATCAATCTAAAAAAGTCTGTGCGTCTATTTTCACGCACAACACTCGGAGAGCCAATCAGCGCAACTTACGGAGGCAGCTCAGCGAATGACGATGCCGAAACATATATTTAGACCAAAACACGCAGTCTGAGTTCTGACATTAAGCAATGGAAAATGTCACGCTTGCATTGGTTAATGTCCCAACTCAGTCTGCATTTTTTGGTCTAAACATATGTTTCGGCATCGTCATTCGCTGAGCTGCGTCCTTAAGTTGCGCTGATTGGTTCTCCAAGTGTTGTGCGGGAAAGTAGACGCACATGCTTTTTTTAGAGTGTACACGGCATTGTGCCTAGTGCTCTTGAAAGAGACCCTAAACCAAAGACCAAAGCATTCGGCACGCGAAGTTGATCAGGGGTCCTAACAATTCCACTCAACGCCCGCCCTATTGAAAATATTTCTAAAGGGCCCGTCAGCCTTGAAGGATTATGGGACCTCACAGGCCTTCAAAACCCTTCAAAAATACCCCACAGAAAAACCCTTCAAGGATACCCCATAGAAAAACCCTTTAGCCCCACAGCCCTTTAACCCGTCAGGCCCTTTAGCCCATCAACCCTTTAGACGCCCAAATGACTGTGAACCATAGACAAAAATGCAGGTCAAAACACTGAAAATTTATTGCCGACATTTAGTTTTACATGCATATTATAACTCAAAAAGCAACGCTTGTTCAAACCCGGCGCCAGGAGCTGTAGACGAAAGGGATCACATCAAACAGGGACAACTGACATCCTTATCACAAAGAAAAATACCTTTCAAAGTACTCACAATGCCACTGGGTATATTCCTGATGTACGGTAGTTCAGCTAATAAAACCGAGCAGGTGCACCTCACGGACACATACACAGTCTCAGTAAGCACGTTTAGCGAAAACCACAAACTCGTAAGCAGCACCCGCCGCCGTTGAGAAATCCCGAGCACAGTCACGGTTTCGTCCATGATGACGTCGCGCCGGCGTCTTCGGCGTATTCTTTGCTCGCTGGTCTGAAGTCGGACGGACGAAGAGGCGCAAGGAACAAGTCCGGACAGCGGCCGTCATCCACCGTCTCAACACCCACAGTGCCATAATCCCGGTGCGCAGGCACAACATGCGGTGGGACGCTGACCCCGACTGCCAGGCTTTGCAGCGAGTAAGCCGACACCGGCCACCATCTCCTTGAATGCGCTGAACACAAAGGCGCTCGAGCGGTGCTGAAGGCGGCCTGCGCCGAACTATGGTTCACCTGCGGTACCAAGAAAGAAACTGCACGGATCAAAACAGACCAAGGGGCGAGCCCTCAAAACCATGCATGCTCACCTTCCTGGAGGAAATTGGTCCGCTCCAAACATCCAGGCTCGTGGGATAACCGGAACCGCACACGAGCAGAGAGAAAATGGCTATGGCCTCCCCCGCTTGCACACAGCACCCTCCTCCCCCCGACCGCTGGCCTGGCAGCCCTGCACCCTCTCCCCATCGCCGGGCGGAGAGAGGCGATTGCTTTTTGGGGACAGTCCTCCGTGGGGGGACCGGTTCCCGGAACGAGTCGCTCCCGCGTGCGTCCCTGTTCCTGGAAAGCGCGCACTGCTCTCGGCTTGTTCTTTTTTTTTTCTTTTCTTTTTTTCTTGTTTTTTTTTTCTTTTTTTTTTATACATGGTTGCACGTATTTCGCCTCGAGCGGACAGGATTGCGTTCGCCTCAAAACGCCGCTCGGCCAACACCACTCGGCCCGCGGCTCGTCAATTCTCCACATGGGCGGTCGCCCTCAGTAACTCTTTCGCGACCGAACACCCGGGCAGTGACAGACGGGTCCAGGAGCCCACTCGTATTTGATAGAAGAGCAGTAATAAAAATCTGACCGTACTCACACACGATCGGCATTCTCCAAATACTTATTTTTTCCCCCGTAGCGTACAATAAGCAGCTATGTTCATTAATTCTGCGAAATGTGTTTTTTCCACCTGGGCCGTTGCCCACACAGACATATCAAGAGGCCTGAAGGTTTTCCCGACCCCATTAGGAAAGTTCTTGACAGACTCTCAGACATTTCAAGGCATCGTAAAGGGGACTTCAGACATTTCAGGAGAGCCTCTGACGGGGCCAGTGAACCCACCAGGAAATATCGGTGCCCCCGTCAAACATCTCAGAAATTCCTGAAGTCCCTTTCACACCCTTTAAAAAAATCCTGAAGTCCCATCAGAGCGATTTTCAATAGGGCGGCTTGCTCAAGGTCGGCTTGCTCAAAAACATGATGTATGTATGTATGAAAAACTTTATTAAAGGTATATCATGAGGGAGGTAGTTTGAGGTGGCCCGGAGGGGGCCATCTCTCACAAGCACTAGGTGGACTCCTCAGTACAGGAGCCCATTGGCGACTGCCGCGGTTCGGGCTCGGTCAACCAGGGCCTTCTGGCCCTCCAGGTCGGAGCAGTCGAGCAGGGCTGCCTCCCAGTCCTCCCGGGTGGGGTTGGGTTTTGGGACGAGGTTCGGGGTTGATTGGCATGCCCACACCATGTGGAAGATGTCCGAAGACTTCTCCGCACAGTGCGGGCATTTTCCTGTATAAGCAGGATCAAAGTGTTTTAAAACTGCCGGGCACAGCAGGGTTTTGGTGTAGAGACGGAGGAGTGTGCGTTCCTCCGCCTTTGTAAGGCCCTTACAGGGCTTAGGATAAATTGCGTGGCCGAATTGGTATAATTGAGTAATTTCTCGAAAAGTGAGGGCTGGATTGGGTTCCGGATCCATTTCGGAAGGGTCTGAAGGCGTTGCCCGGAGAGTGAGCGCGCGGGCGGCGGCGTCTGCCGTTTCGTTGCCTTCGAGGCCCATGTGAGCAGGAGCCCAGACGATCATTCGAGACGCGGGGGCCCCGAGGTAGTCACTATCTTTAAGGATGCGATACGCAAAGAGAGGAATGTACCCCTGTTCAATATTTCTGCAGGCCCCTCTCGAGTCGGTGATGATGACTCTCGAGTCCTGGTCTGCGGCGGCTAGACCGATGGCGATCTCCTCCGCATGTGTTATGTCTTTAGCTCTGAACGTAAGGCCGTTCACCAGGACGTTTTGGTGGACGACTGCAGCCGTGTACCTCCCCCCATGGTGAGGGCCGGAGGCGTCCACATAGAAGATTCCGGGTTTGGACCCATAGTGGCGGGCCAGTGCCTCCGCCCGCGCAAGGCGCCTGCCACTGTGGTCGTCACGTGTCATGTTGGCTGGAAGAGGGCGCACGTGCAGGGCGCATCTCCAGACTTCGGGGATGCGTACGCGCTCTTCTGTCAGTGTTAGGTGATGGATGTGTAGTCGGGCTAATAGGTGGCGTCCCGACGACGTCTTTGAAAGTCTTGTATATTGATTGGTCAAGTGTGCCTCCTGGAGCTCCGCGAAAGTGTTTACCATCCCCAGGCCCATGAGGCGCTGGTTGGACGTGTTCATCGGGAGATCGAGGGCACGCTTGTACATCTTTCTAAGAAGCACCTCAAGGGCGGTCTCGTCAAACTTGCGCAGGTGGAGGTAAGGAGTCGAGTAGAGGACTCGACTGGTCACGAACGCGTGCGCCAGCCGCAAGGCGTCTTTGCACCGTAACCCACCGCGTTTGTTGGAAACACGGCGGACCATTCGGCCCACCTGGTCCCCCACCTTGCGCAGTTTAGCCAGTGTTGTATCAACCCGCCGATGTTTGTGGATAAAGAGACCAAGCACTCTAATCTCATCGTGTTCGGGTATCGGGCCGCTGGCCAGGGATAATTCCATTTTGGTGGTGCACTTAGGCGACGGGCGAATGTGCACAAATTCGGATTTGGACGTGGAACATTGAAGGCCGCAGCGGCGGGCGTAGGCGTCCACGATCTCCGCCGCTTGCTGCAGGTTGGCCTCAATGTCTCCCACCGACCCGTGTTTGGCCCAAATGGTTATGTCGTCGGCGTACAACGCATGCTGGACGCCTTCGACTTTCGCCAGTTGAGCCGGAAGTTTCATCATGGCCAGATTGAAAAGTAACGGCGAGAGGACCGCGCCCTGTGGTGTTCCTCTCGTTCCCAGTTGATAGGGGCCGTGTTCTTCGTCTTCTATTCGGATAAAAGACTGTCGATCCGAGAGAAATTGCTTGATATACTGAAAGGTGTTAGGTCCACAGTTGGTCTGGGAAAGATGGTGTAGGATAATTTCGTGTGTGACGTTGTCGAAAGCCCCCTGCAAGTCTAGGGCGAGTACTGCCCTATCGTTGAGGGGGCACTCGACAGGGTTGAGAATTTCTCGGTCGAGCTGAAGCAGAACATCCTGCGCGGACCGGTGCTGGCGGAAACCGAACATGGTGTCTGCGAATACATTTTGGTTTTCCAGAAACCCAGACAGCCTGTCCCGCACCATGGTCTCCATCAGCTTTCCCGCACAAGACGTCAGGGAGATGGGGCGGAGGTTGTCTGTGTTTATGGCTTTGCCGGCTTTCGGAATGAAGGTTACCAGGGCGGTCTT